TGGTGACAGTGGTTGAGGATGGCGGTACGTTGTTGTAACCGGGATTTACAATTTAGAACAGTCGGAATTTATATCATTTTATTCGTCTGAATCAAATTTTATCACATAAAAATTCTACTAGTTGCAACGATGTTACTTCACTAAGTGTCAAATTCGTTTTCGAGACTTACAATCATCGGTCTGTGAAAAGAATCAGTCAGTTTAATGTAGATATTTCAGAAGAAATCAACGAAACACATAGCTGAAAAAGTGCGGAAAGAATCAAAAGGTACGAGGCTTTCTACATAATACTGAAGAAAATCATAGAAATTAATCTCTTTTTTAAAGAGGCGAAGACATATATTTACCCGAAAATACAGAAAGAAGTGAACATCATACCATGCCAAGACATTTCGAATCATCACAATCACAGAAATTATTTACAAATCGATTTATGTTAAAAATTATGACTATGTCTTGTAGAACAACCAATTCCTTTTAAGCTACGTTCGTTCGTTTCGGCCGTGAATTGGTACTGGCATATACCAGAGAGTCAAACCGGCCATCAGCTTGCTTGTAAGCAACCTCCGAAAGAGCGAGCCAACAAAATCTAGCTAGCGAGCGACTGCTGTTGGCATTTGCTACCACTCGGGCTGCTTCTCGAGTGCCTCTGTCACTCATAAAAACCGAAAAATGAAGGCCTTTCGCTAGAGGATCATTGGCTGATCGATAATCAGTCAAAAGAAAAAATAAATAAAAAAGCAGCCTCATTCATTTCTGAGCCTCATTTTTGAGTAAAATCTAAGACAAAATTCCCAAAAACTAGTATTTTTCCGTAGTAATCGGACTTCCTGGAATAAATCGCTCAGTCACCAAATGCAAATAAAATAGCAAAATAAAACCGCCGTACCGGTGCACCGGGGGATTTTAACAGGCTTAATTTTCATCACAAAGTTACTTGCTAAAGCTAATAACCATTCACTAAAATCATTCAAAAAAAAAAATCGGTTTTAGAGCGGTCTCATTAGTGATAGTGTCCAAAATTAATATGAATACAGGAGCTCTGAAAGAGCTAAATTCGGTTGAAAAACCGATTAATTCGACCGTAAAGCAGAATTTTTTTTTTTTGCAAAAATTAAACACTGCAGTATGAATGTCAGTGGCATCATTCAGTCCTGTAGTTGTTCAACTGGTAATGCCAAACTGCTTCCCGAATGGCGCCGATGTCTTTCACTGAAAACTGCTCCAATTTTATCATTTGGGTGGATTTAATTCAGTCAGAAAAACAGAATAAATTAAAAAACTGCTAAATTTCTTACCATCAACACTAATCTTCATGAAAAAAAAGCTCAAGACTGTAAGGGCGATGTTTGGATTATCCCTTTCATAGGATAAAATTCCACCTTTAAATCTTCGAAACGCTAATAGCAAAATTAAGCCAGGTTTTTTCGAAATTTGCTTTAGCAAAATTAGGTAGCTTTTTTTTTCCAGTCAAGTCCCAACAGAATTTTTGGTTAACTGCCAAAAAAGAAAAATTAAAACTAACAAATTTTGCTGAATTCGCATGCATTTTGGGCACGGTTTTCCGTTATTGCGTCGCTTTGCCGCACATTTTCGATGGCTCAAAGAACCGCACTCATCACATCGTTCCACACGCTCTAATTGAAATGGAAATAACAGATCGTCTCGTTCGTCACACAATTCGCATACAAATGCCTGCGCACTACAGTGCTAAAATTCCACCACAGTAGCACGGTATTTCTTCCAGTGGAGATTTTCAGTGGTGATATTTACAAAAAAAAATTTTCAAGAGGTCAAAATTTTCAAAAAAAGTTTCAAAAAATTTTCATTTTTATCGAAATCATTTTTATCGAAATTTTCAAAAAAATTTTCAAAAAATCAAAAAATCAATTTCAAAAAATCCTAGCAACATCGAAATTAATCAACTGGACAGGAATGTTTCGGTCCATTAAGTTGGATAAAGTTTAGCACTCACACGCTTCAAAAATAATGAACATCAAAATCGTCAACAGGTTGATCATCATTATTACTTCGATTTTTTCCCTTTCAGTCATGTTTTCTTTTTTTTTTTAGTTTAAAATCTCGCAACGTCCCTTAGCTTTCTTGCGTTATATCAGACATTTTTTTTCCATAATTCTCTTTCCATATTCTAATTATATATTATTTTCAGTAAATCAAAAGAATCCACCTCGCAACTTTCAACGTGATATCGTCCATATTTGACAATTGGTGCAATGATTTTAAAAAGCTCTCCTTTCTGGACATCCTCTAAATCGGCCATCGAATAGACATCAGCATCTGTTAGCATATAATTTGGTACTGTAGAGAATATTCCATATAAGCTACAACGAGATATTATTAGAAAAAAAAGAAATCAGAGTTTTACCCTCGGAATCATATTATGTTTTGGAGTATGATAGATGCATTTTTGACTTATCCACACTATTGTAATCAAATCGACAAAACTAGCAAGCCAACCTCGCAGTTTTCGAAATTTTGTTAAAGCAAGCGTGCATTTGATCAGTAGTGCAGAATTTTGAAAAAAAGAAAAACTTACTTTCCATGTTTGGTAACAGTTTCTTCAGCGATGCTACAGAGACGAATATATGACCA